ATATAAAGACACAAAAGGACCAAAATACCCTTCTGTTTTGGGATCAAATATCAAATAAAAAGGTAAGAGGACAAAGAATCTTGCCATCTGAACATGTCATGGACATAAATATCCCTTCAGGCTGGTGCATGGATATCTATTACATTAAGGTTGTAAAGAAGTTAATCCAATTCATCAAATGTTAGACAATTTATTTCCCATGTCATGGATGTCTCACTTCCAGCTCCACCACCTTTTCTCTAAAAAAGTGATGGCCCACTTCTATCTATTTTTTACTTCTACAGGGGATGGAATTTGCAACTGCACATAGCAGCTTGTTTATCACAATAAATCGTTATGAGGAGAGCCACCACAAACCCCATGCCACACTAAAGCACCATGACTTCATTATCAGCTCAATTATCTTAGTTTTTATATTTCTACAAGCAATAATTAACTGATTAAGCTCCAGAGAGAGCCGAAACCAAGTAATATCCCGAATGACACAAAAGTCAACCACAGACAACCATGCCCCATGGATTTGACCAATTATTTCCAGCACCCTTGAGTTCAGCACAGAAATCCTCTTGCCAATGCAAGGGCATTGCTCCACAGACATTTATCATAAGTTCAGGGAAAACACTCTTCAAACGATTTGGGTGACTAAATATTGAAAAATCCTCAACCACAGTTTTCCTCTCCTTCTCTTACGCCTTTGCTATCCAGTTACATGATAAAATCACCTGAATGAGGGCGGTCTCCGACCCAATTGCCCAACAATGTGTTGTGTATACATTCCAAGACATTATCCTCACTGAGAACAATCTAAAACTAGATCACCCCATGCCCTTTCCTTCACTATTTTGTATTCAGACCCCTTTTCATGATTACATAAATGAGGAGGTTTGAAAGGGGAGAAATGTAGGATTGCGTTATACCAAAACCCAAATGCCCTCTAAGATTGTAAAAGATTTGTATGTGCACTTCCATGGTTTCTCCCCCCTTCCTAAACCCCTATTACTCACGTATATAAAGCGGAACATAGATGCTTAATTTTTCTGCAGAAAATAAAAACTCATAGATGAATAACCAAGCTAACATCGAGTTTACAGGTTAGTACATCTCATGAGTGTGCATGTGCATGCGATGTGGCATGCACGTGTGTGTGAGAATGCTTCTGTGTACAAAAAAAATGAAGGAAAAATATATGAGCACACCGTAATCCATTGTACAACTGGGATCTCACTAATGTTCGGGCTTTTCTTCTTTTGATAAATCTCATTACAACTAAAAGCGTGTAGGCACAAAATACATGTTCATGAAGGCATAAACCAATCTTATAAATAAAACATAATAAAACAATGAACACATATACCGTGCAACACTTACGGATTCTAGCAACATTAGGAGCTTCATCTTCGATTTCATCAGCAGCATGAAGGATTGCATCGATGTTGGTCGTCTTCACAAGAGAAGGCGGCACAGCAGCAGCAAGCCCGCTAGAAGGCCTTTCAAGCCCTTGTTGAGATCCATGCAGCTGCTCCCTCTGCAAGGTTGCCCGGACAAGGCGCTCCCAGTTTGATTGTACCCTCTCCATGCCTAAATTCCTGAACTAGGAGTTCATCTGAATGAAGAGGACCTTGACCAAGACATTCAAATGTCAGAAAAAAATAGCATAAAAATATTAGATTGAGAGAGAATGAAAATGGCTTATCCAAATAGAGAAGAGAGGGAGTCATCCCAATCAAAATAACAGAGAGAGAGAGAGAGAATGAGTGAGTGAGTGAGTGAGTGAATGAATGAGTGCATGAGTCAGTGAGTGAGTGAGAGCTAGAGAAAGACTGAAGATGAGTACTAAATGGCCGAAATAAAGGCAGGAGCTCCAACAATGGAGTACGCAACAAAATGAACTACTTATTAAAAAAATTATAGAATGGAAGAGAAAATAGGAAGGGAATCCAAGAGTTTGGGGTGACAGTGAAAAACAAAAATGACCAGCGAATATAATCCAAACTTAAAGCATAGGGAAATCTTTCTTTCATTCAGTGTCTAAACTGAGGAGAACAAAACCCATTAAACTGTCACAACCATCCTTTTGAGCAATGTTGGAGCCAATAAAAAATAAAAATGATGATGAGAAACAAAAACACGAGTACACCAACAATGTAAAACAAAGAATAATTGCTACAAAAAGGACTTGATTAATAAAGCAAAGATTCTTCTGATAGATGAAAATAAACCAAAACACATTACACTTTGAACTTTAAACTGTCATAAGCAACTGAACATGTGAAATGTCTCCACAAAATAAATTTAGCACATAGATGTTAATAAATGCAAAACAGGTGATAAAACTCAATGGAAAAGAAATACCAGCTCATGGTATAAACTCTTCAGAGAAATGGACATAAAAATAGTACAGCTGATAGAAAAGTAGCAAATACAAGAAGGGAAAGAGAGAATAAGAAAAGAAGAAGCTAGAACAACCAAAAAAAACATATTACGCTGCTATAATCGTCTTTCTATAAATAAATGATTATCATGGAAATTGGAAAATTAAATGAATATTCACTATAGCAGAAAAATACAACCAAAATAAAATAATTCAGAAAAAAAAATCATTTGCAAAAAAAAAAAAAAAAAGTCATGGCCAAAACTAGATCTGTCACGAAAAGCACAAAAGCCAATTTTTTCCCTAAACTCCTCGTATCTCATAAGAACTACAACCTAGATAAGAAGAAAGATATAAAAAGAAAAAAAAATCTCAGCAATAAAATGAACCAGATAAAAACCACAAGCATTCCCTACAACCACACAAAATCGCAGAATAACCACCAGAAAAACAAATTCTGCTTAAACATCAAGACTTCTAACTCACTAAAAAATAGACAAATGAAGTTCAATAGAATAGTTGTAACTAAATTACGACGAAAAATGACGAAAAATCGGAGATAGTAAACCATGGCATCAGCTAAATGAACTTAAAACTGCATCAGGAAACGCAACTGTAGCAATCACCCTATGAACTCAAATTACATCAGATGAACACGAATCTCATGAAATACCCGAGAACCCATAGAAAAGAAGAACAAACAAATAAAGTAAACATGCGAAGAAAAAAAGAAGAAGAAATAGGGCACAAATGGGCTCACCTTAGCTTTTGCCGAGAAAAAAACAGGAAAATTTAGAGCTTTCGTAGAAACCCCTTAATCAAAAGAAACAGAGTGAAAATTAAGGCACAAATGAGGTAAGATCGGAGGAAACAGCGGGGATCAGAGGGCGAAAAACAGTGGCGGAAAATGGAAAATGAAAAACCGCGTGGAGAATACGGGGAAGTATTTATCGAGGAGTAGTATCCGAAATTAAAGTATTTTATCAGGGCAATTATTATTCAAAGAATATATCCATGGGCCTACATAAGGCTTTTTTATGTTCTTTTTTCAAACGTTTAGAAAAACAAACTCAATCAAATTCCAACGACCCTTTCTAATAGGGATACGGTTTCTATGCGGCCGGCCCGCGTATTGTAGAAATACGGGCTTGGCAATAAACATAGTTTTTAAATATAATTTGATTTTAATTTTTAAAGAATATATAATTTTTAACATGAAGATTGTGAATATGAAAATAAATAAATATAATTTAGAAATAATAATTATATTAAAAAAATATTTGGACCATTAGTTACACTTGTTTTAGATGGACCACCTATTTGCAGCTTCTTTAAGATGGATGCTTTATATGTCTAGACCGCATATTGTAGAAATGCGGTCCAACCCACATGAAACAATTTTTTTTACAAAAGTATACATTTAAAATAAAAGAAAAAAGAAAATGGTAGCCCTATCAAAATAACGCATCAAAAATTACAATTCAAACATTGAAAAACCTTTACATTGATCATCTCATCTTGAACATTATGGTTGTGAAAAAAAATTACAATTTCAAACCCTAAAAGTAATGTAAATTTTAGCAAAAGGTCAAAACCGTTCATTTCGCCCTAAAAATAATTGTTCACATATTCGCAAAATGTATACTTATTTTAGTTCCATTTTTAATTTTTGTGTTAGAAATTGATTTTAGAACCATAGTGGAGATTTTTTTTCCGAAATTGCTTTTCCAATGAGGATTTAGAGCCATAAAGGAGATTTATTTTGCCGAAATAGTTAGATAGGGTTGCACCTTGTTAAGAAAAAGTAAAGCCTCACTTCAAAAGTTATTGAATGATGCAATTTTGGTATCAGAAAATCTTCAAATCGATTATCTAGAGGGCTTGATTACTATGGTCGTGAAAAAAATTAGAATTTCAAGCCTTAAAAATATATTGTAACATATTATCTATACCGTCCTTTTCACCCTAAAAATAAGTATCCCCGAATCCACAAGATTTATACCATATTTTGAACTTCTAATTTTATAGTCAGTGTCAATTTTTTATTTTAGAACTGTTATAAAGATTTTCGATGCCCAAAGTGCTTTCCTAATGGAAGTTTCAAAGTCAATGTTGTTAGGTTTGCTTCTCTTCGGGCGAAGAGAAGAAGTCTTGGGGTTTTGCCTCACCAACGAAGCAAACCAAAAAGGAAGAGTTTTCTTCATTCGTTTCTATTAAAACTTTCCATATGAGTACGACGTATACAAATAAATTTCTTTTTTGATAAACATTCCCAAAATTTCATTCCAAGACTCAAATAGTCAAAGTACAACAGACCCAGAAAACAAATAAAAACAAAAAACAAGAGACTTAAAAAAACAAAATAAAACCACACCCAATCATGTTATGAAGCACATTACAGTACAATCCATTTTGTAGTGTGCACCCCATTCTTTGCTAAACCATATGCTTCCATATTACACTCCCTAAACACATAGACAAATCTACAATTCAAATTCTCACAGCAATCCAACCATTCAACTATACAAATAACGAAATCTCCATGGGTACTCAGTTTTCTCCAATATCCAATGAATAATATTCAATGAATCTCCTTCTATTATAATTGGTTTCTCAAATCTGCTAATCAATTTAACACCAGCCAAGACAGCAATTAATTCAACTTCATTAGAAGTAGCAACACCAATTGGACCAAAGAATTCAAGTAAAACAATATCGTTATCATCTCTTACTATACCACCAATCCCTACTAGACCAGGATTACTAAGTGAACTTCCATTAAAGTTCAACTTAATCGACCATTCTTCAGGTTTAGACCATAAACCCATCATGATTTTCATATTTGTCTTTTCCTTAATAAGCATATAAAGATTATACATTAAGTCCACCTGAGAGACACCCCTCCATTCCTCTTTAATGGACAATCAATCAGCCACCATATTTCTAATATCATCAATCAGCTCAGCCTCTGTTTTCCTTTTACTATCAAAACAACACCTATTTCTTTCCTTCCGTACTTCCCAACAAACAGTTGCTTTAATAATTTTCCATATTATTCTACCCTTCTTACTCAAACCACCAACCATCCAGTCTCCAAACAAATCATTCGTGTGCACAGGAACAAGTTCACAAAAAACAATTTCATCCATCGCCCATTTCCAAACAGATTGAACATATTTACATTCTATAAACAGATGTTCAATATTTTCTTCATTATTTTTACATATAATACAGTAGTTAACCACAACGACTCCTCTTTTCCTTGATATATCTAAAGTATTCTACGCATCTTAAGCAACCCTAAGAATGCTCTAACCTTTAAAGGGATGTGCCATTTCCAGATTTTACCTACTTATCTCTCAAACCATGCAGTATTATCCATAGCAAACGAATGATATGCAGACTTCACATAATATAGACCAGATCTTTCCAATTCCCATATTGCTTTATCATTCAAATTTAGGCAGTAATAAAACTGTTGTAAAAGACTCATACCTTGAATAAATTCCTCTGATGCCTCATTTGATACCCTTCTATAAGAAACACTAATATTCCATTATGCAGAAAAACACCGTCCAAAAACTAATTCCCCAACCATCTTGCTTTTAGAATTAACTTTAGCAAAACGATTTGGAAACAACTCCTTCAAAGCCTATCCCCAATCCATTTCCCTTGCCAAAATCGAACATTATCTCCATTCCCAACCCTCCATCTCATATTATTGATGAAGAATTCTCTATAGTTCAATATCTCTTTCCACATGATCGAAATACCTTTATCATTGCGGCCTTTGACAACAATACCATGTTCTAAGTCTTCTCCATACTTTCCACCTGAATTTGCCTCCACAACTGATCTTTATCATTCACAATTCTCCACCACCATTTAGCTAACAAAGCCTTATTCATGGCTTTTATATTTTTTACCCCCATCCCAGCAACATAAATCGATCTAAATACTTTTTCCCACTTCACCAAATTATATTTCTTTTTATTATCAAATGCTCTCCAAAGGAATCTTCTCATGATACATTCAATCTTTTTAGAAACAGATTTAGGCATCAGAAAAACTGACATAAAATTTATTGGTAAATTTGATAAAGCTGATTTGAGTAAAGGTAATCTACCCCCCAAAGATAGCAACTTGAACTTCCAAGAATCTAACTTATATTTCATACTTTGGATAAAAGGATCCCAAAGAGCCAAACCCTATTAATACCAGAAAGAGGAAAGCCGAAGTATTTAACAGGGAACTTACCCACTTCACATTTCAATAGCTTAGCACACTGTTTCACCTTCTGTTCTTCACAAGCCACCCCAATAATACTAATTTTCTTCAAATTCACTTTCTAACCCGTTACTACCTCAAACACCCTCAGAAACATCTTAAGATTTGAGATTTCAGAATAACCCCACTGAAAATTAAAGTATCATCAGCGTACTGTAAATAGGATACCATACAACTATTTTTTTTAACTTGTAAACCACTTATCAAACCTTTCTGAACAATAGAAGAAAGTAATAGATTGAAGATCTCACCCATGGTAGTGAATATAAAAGTGGATAGAGGATCCCCTTGTCTAATCCCTCGAGAAGCTTTCAAAAATCCTTTCGGTCTCTCATTTATAAGAATCAAAAAATTTGTAGCTTCTAAAAAACCTTTGATCCAACCAATCCATTTGTCCCCAAAACCTATAACATTAAAAGTTTATAAAGTATATTCTAATCTACCTCATTATAGGCTTACAAATAATACCTTCTTTCTTTTGAGAAGATCTAGGACTGATGAGTTATTGAGCACACAATATACTGTCAGTAATCTGTCTATTTTGAATGAATGCAAATTGAGGCCCTTTAATCACCATTGGGAGAGCAGTCTTAAGCCTTCTAACTAGACATTTAGCAAGAATCTTATAAAGACTAGTAAGAAGACTAATAGGTCTAATGTCATTTAAACACTCAATCATTCCCTTTTTAGGAATAAGGGCAATGAAAGTCGAGTTTAAATTAGAGCTAACCACACCTTTATGAAATTCTGCAATCATATGACATATATCATTTTTCACAATATCCCAATAGTGTTGATAAAAACCTAAAAGGCAACCATCAGGGTCAGGAGCACGATCTCCTGATTAACTAAACACTGCTTCTTTAATTTCTGATTCCCAAAAAGGTCTTTCGAGCCAATCCCTCCAAACCCCATCAAGTTTGGAAAAGTGAATTTGACTTAAATCAGTAAGAGGGATCTTCTCTGCAGTAAAAGCCTGTTGAAAATGGTTAACAATCGCATTTTCCATACTTAAAACATCACCTTCTACCACACCTTCCAACTTAATCCCTTGAATACTATTGGATCTCTTTCTTGCACTTGCCATTGCATGAAAGAACTTAGTATTCAAATCTCCATCTTTTAGCCATTTAACACGAGATCTTTGTCTCCAATATGTTTCATCCATCCTAATCCAATCATGAAGTTCTTTATTGAGAGAGTCTATATACACCAAATCCTGTGGAACAAACACTCCAGACTCCCACTCCTTCAGATATAGCTCTCTAGTTTTGTTCATGGTTTCCTCTGCTTTCAGTTTATAATTCACCTTATTATCATTTTTCCATTTCAATATTTCCTGCTCCGCACTGTGTACCTCCTTAGCCCCTACAAATCCAACCCAACCCTGACTACGTTTATTGTTCCAAGCATTCTTAATCCGACCTTCCATAGCATTATCCCTAATCCAAGCCATTTCAAACTTGAAATAGCCCCTACCACAGACAATAACATCACTTTCCCACAACAGAGGACAGTGATCTGAAAACATTCTAGGAAGAGCACGAGCTGAACCCCTCATGTATAGCTTTGCCCAAGCCTGATTAACAAGAAAACAATCTAACCTAGTCATTATAGGATGACTCAAACAATTATTTGACCATGTATATTTGGCCCCAGTAGCA